AAGTCCTTCTTCTTTGTTCGGCGTTGTCCCACCAGTTCTGCCATTCAGCTTTAGATTTGGTGGTTAAGATTTTTTTAAGGTGCGAGCCAGGCCATGGTACTGATAAATTTTGTGCATTTTGACTCCTAGCTGCTTCTTTGGCTAAGATGTCAGCCTCCTCGTTGCCTTTTGTCCCTGCATGTGCCTTCAGCCAAGTGACAAAAGAAGTGCTGATTTTGTGATGCTGAAGTTCTTTCTGTAATCTCCTGGATTAATTTTGATCGGTGGCGGGGGTTTGCGATGGCATGCGTCGCTGAAAGACTGTCTGTAAAGATATGTGCTTCTTTTAGGGAGTTTGTGATGCTGTATTTTATTGCTTCAAAGAGCGCTACTGATTCCGCTTATAATACACTATTCTGTTGATCTAGGTGGAACTTCTGTTCTGTTGTCGAATTGGGATCTAGGTAGATTTTGATTGCGCCGCCTTTACCTTCTTCTAGGCCGGAAGCGTCTGTAAAGAGTTGGGGGGAATTTCTTTTCCCTTAGTACTTCTTTTTTCAGGCTTAATGTGTTATTATTTTTCTTTCCTGGGTGGTGTTCATATGGGTGCGCCTGTGTCTCGTAATTCTCTGCTAAAAGTTCTAATGATTTGTAATGGCTCTTCTTTCGTAGTTGTAGTACTATTGTCTTATGGAATTCTCGTTCAGCGCCTATAAAAAGTGGAATGCTGTTAGCGATTTGGAAGAGTGCCGCATTTGATGTTGTTCTGTAGTTTGCTGTATAGTTAAGAAAGGAAGGGTCGCTGGATTGCATGAAGCTTTTTTTGCTTTCTTTTTGTCATTGGTTCTGCCATATGGCTGCTCCGTATAGGGCAATCTTCTCGATTACTGTATGGTAGATGAGGTGTTGGATTGGTCTGCTCATTCCCTATCCTATTCCGTTCATTCGCTTTAGATTGGTTGCTATTTTGGAGGTCTTGCTTTTAATGTAGTCTAGATGGTCTGTAAAGTTAAGTCTTTTATCAATGATGACACCCAGGTGTTTTAGGGAGTTAACAATTTTTATTTTAATTCCTTCTATTTCGAATCTTGGAAGTCTTGTTATCTTTTGTGAGGGTTTGTGGATAATTAGGGCACGTGATTTTTCTTGATAAATTACTAGTTTTTGTTGTTTGCAAAGAGAGTTAAAAATTTCTAATGTGCTGTTTACATTTCTTTGTAACTCATCTCTGGAGCTACCACTCACAACAAAAGCTACATCGTCCGCAAAAGCGGTGCATTTTGAGTGTTGGGACCATTTGTGCTTTATGACTTTGTCAAACGTCAGGTTCCAAAAATCTGCTGTTAAGCAGGACACTTGTGGGCAGCCTCTGACTTGTACTTTTTCAATTGTACGGTTGTTATTTATAATGACGCTGTGTCTGTTGGTGAAGTAATCTTGAAAAATTTTGTAAATGTTTTTTGGACAGTTCATGTCTTTCAGTGTGCTTAAAACCTCGGGCCACCAGAGGGAATCAAAGGCCTTTTGCAGGTCTAGGCATAGTACAGCCGAGTGCATATTCTTTATTTTATTTCCTATTACCTGCTCTAGAACATCATTGATTGCATATATAGTGCTCATATTCGGGAAGAACCCGAACTGGTACGGGCTTGCTGTGTTGGACTTACTTATGTGATGCCTGAGGCGGTTCGCTAGGGCTCTCTCAAGTACTTTCCCTATTGCGGGAAGAAGGTTTATTGGGCGATAAGAACCTGGGTTTGATGCATTCTGGCCATTTTTATTAAAAAGAACTATCTGGCCGATTTTGAAACTTGTTGGAAAGAGGCTTGTTTCTAGACATTTATTCATTAGGTTGAAAAATATATAAGGAAAGTTCTTGTGCAGGATCTCGATGAGTTGGTTATCAATCCCGTCCGGCCCAGGTGCTTTTTTGTTTGGCAGGATCTTAATTATTTTTGAAATTTCAAAGGAAGAGAATGGAATATAGTCATTTGTTTCTGGGGGTGGCTATTGTTTCTTCTGATACTCTGAAGTGGTGAGTCTTCATCTGGGGAATCATGAAGGAAACAGCATCCATTATTTTCTTGATGCATTGGGTTGTTGCATCTTCCTGTGAGTTGTTTTCGTTGATGTAGTTTGGGATAACAATGATATAGTTCATTGTTCATTGGCAAAGTTTATATAGTTCATTGGCAAAACAGTGATATAGGTCACTATTCTTCTGTAACATGTAAATCAACGAAAACATCAGAAACATGTAAATAAATGACTACCTAGTTTAATTTCACTTGGCCTAGAAACGATTGAGATAAAAATGATATGGATAAAGGAAATTTCGGAATCTAGAATTCAGATCACTGAAGTTCTACTGCATGAAAAAAATTTTAAAACGAACAATAAAATATTAAATTGTATCTTGGATTTCTGACCACAAAGATGCAACAGATTTCAGAGTATGCTTACATTATAAAAGGAAGTCTAATCCCATGAGTGCGCATAATAACAATCTAGAATATACTTCATGAAAAATAATACTATTTTTTCTTCTAAGTGACACATGATCTGTTTTTTAAAACATATATATTATTAGGCACTTTTAATGGTATTAGGATTTTGATAAAAGATTAATTTTTGACATATAATTTGTTTTATAGGCATCAACCTAGCCATTTCCATGCTGCCGTTTCGAAAATAAATACCACAACCTGATATCATGGAATACAAAATCAATATTCATAAAGAAAATTCTAATTTTTTTCCTTTTTATCCTAGAAATCTCTTTAACAAATGTTGGAACTATAAAAAGAATTCAAACAATACTGGATGTCTGCAACAATTTTATACATTGAAAGCCACAGAGGTCTTCACAAAGAAATTTCGAGAAGTCTAGAAAAAGTTTAGAGTTCCAAAGTAATTTTTGAAATTTCGCATTGTTAAGGAATAGTTTAAAAACAGCCACAACAAGAATGTAAAACACTACTTAAAATATGCTAAATACAAACAGACTCCTTCCAGTTGTACAGTAATATGCTTTTGCGAGACTGAATTGGAGTATGAACTACGGAAAAACACACTAGACTATCCGGCTAGGTTGACAGAACATCCAGTTTTATATTGACCTGTTTACACTTCACACACATGTACATGCATATATATATATGTATATATATTATGTGTATATATAAAAACACACACTCGTGTGCAAAATTAAGAGAATTTTCACATGTAGTCGAATTTTTGAAAAAGTAATAGACAAATTTTTATAAAATTTGATATGAATATCCATTTCTAACAGAGAAAGCGATCTAAAATTCAAAAGTCATTTTATGTACGCATGATTCTCAGTAAACCTCTTAGAGCAGGGATATCAAAAATCAACATAGTGATAACGAACTGCAAATAAGTCCAATATGGGACTAAGGTCCCCTCTCACAACCAGACAGGTCGCAGAGCGTGACGGTATAGCTGACGGGAGGCAGTTGAGGAGTCCTTGTGGCAGCCGACCCCCCTCTGTAGCAAGGCAGTGTTAAACTCCAGGATGACGAAGTGAAATAGCCCTCTTAAAAGAATCCCAGGCATGGCTGTATAGGATTAAGGCCAGAAGACCTAGCTGGCTAATCCATGCGCCAATATCCTCACGTTCCAGGTATTTGTCAACCAGCTGACCCCTGTGTGGACGTTGGCGTCCATTAACAGGAACCCAGCACCAGCTGCGCCCCTGAAAAGTTGAATATGAGACTCTAAGGTCTTCTCCGTATACTTCATAGCTTGTGATAGCCTTTTTCAAACACATGCGGGAGTGTGCGCCCGTCCTACATGACTCCTGCCCAAACCATTACATCTCCACCACTGTTATGACCCTCTTTCCTGATGAGGTATCGTGTTCCAGGCTCTCTCTAGATACAGATACTTCGAGAATCAATGTCCAGGCTGAATCTTGACTCATCTGTAAAAAGCACTGTGCTCCATGGAAGTTTGGTCCAAGACGCATGCTATCTGCACCATGCTAAGCGCGCTTTCTTGTATGCTACAGTGCGGACGCAAACAGCTGATTTTTGGCATACAATAATATCTCATGAAGACATTACACATCTCAGAAGTATACAGCTCACGTGAGAGCTGTGAGGTATAATAATCCGATGTCGCCGCGTTAAAAGTATCAATTAACGATACTCATTCATTGTTGGGGCCCCACCAGCGGCCGAGCGGTAAAGTCGCTGAACACTGGTAGTTCGGTCCGAGGTCGAATCCCGCGAACGGGCTGGCTGCATGGGCGTTTCCGTGGTTTTCCCCATGTGTAACGTGTATACGAGCCAGTTTCCCTTAGAAAGTCCTCCACGAAGGCATCCCTCCCCTTAGGCAGATAGCCCTCGAGGCTTTGCCGTAATCACACACACACACACACAACACACTGTTAGGTGTTTTGCTTGTGGTAAATCACACTCAGTTATTTTGTGTCCGGACATTAATAATGAAACTGAACTTCCTACAGAAAATCAGAGTTGTAAAAGTGAAAACTAGAAATGGCATACTGATTCGTCCTATACGTAAACTGTACCCTCTAGAAGTGTGTTCCTGTACTAAGGATACCATTATTTGATTTTTGATTTTCCTTCTGAAAATCAAAAAGGTGGGAGTGTTGTGAAACTGATTAGCTGTATCTAACAAATATTAAAAACAAATCTCTTCATTTTGATGTACGAGACACAGATGGCATTGGCTGTCATTGAAGTAGGAAGAAAAAAAGATTTTTCCCTTTTCGACCTCGTGACGTGAACTGATTAAGTGTGTAACAATTGTCTTGAAATTTTTCTGGCCCCGAAAGTTATTACACACTTAATCAGTTCACGTCACGAGGTCGAAAAGGGAAAACCCTTTTTTTCTTCCTACTTCAATGACAGCCAACGCCATCTGTGTCTCGTACATCAAAATGAAGAGATTTGTTTTTAATATTTGTTAGATACAGCTAATCAGTTTCACAACACTCCCACCTTTTTGATTTTCAGAAGGAAAATCAAAAATCAAATAATGGTATCCTTAGTACAGGAACATACTTCTAGAGGGTACAGTTTAGGTATAGGACGAATCAGTATGCCATTTCTAGTTTTCACTTTTACAACTCTTACACGTCCATCTCTGCTTGTACAAAGTTCTTGGACACGAGCAATTGGCCAGTTCACTCTTTTAAGGTTCTCACAACCTATTAGCACGATGTCTCCAACTTTTAATTCACAGTCCGTCTGTCCATGCTTTTGTACTAACTGTCCAAGGTACTCCTTGCTACGAAATTGTTCTCGAAGTTCCAGGCAGAAACGCTGACGAGCCAAGAGTTTATTTCGATCTAAAGCATCCAAATCTGCTGTACCTGAAACCTTAATGTCCTGTAAGAACATGGAAGGCGTTAATTGTAGAAGATCCTTAGAGTCATTTGACACATAAGTTAGTGGTCGACAGTTTATTACGGCTTCCAGATCACAGATGACGGTGAGTAACTCTTCGTAATTGACTGCAGCTTGTCCTAAGACTCTCACAATCAAATTCTTGGCTGTGCGGATTAGACGCTCCCACCATCTTCCCCACCAAGCAGCAGTGGGTGAAATGAACTTCCAAGTGATGGGATGCAAAGTTTCCTGAGCAATTACCTTTACCCAGTTGACTTTCTTCAGCAATGCAAATGTACCGACAAAATTTGTGCCGTTGTCTGAGTAAACTATAGATGGCCGACCTCTTCTGGCTATGAACCGACGAAACGCTTGAATGAAGCATTCGGTACTTACGAATGTCACTACCTCCAAATGTACACATCGATATGCATCAGCACACATGTAAACAGTACTACCCAGGCTTTGTTTTTATTTTTGAGACTCAGAGGGCTACATAAATCTATGTCAGCAACTTCAGATGCGAAAGCATCTCGAACTCTCTCTAATGGTAATTGAATGGGTGCAGTAGCCTTGGAGGTTTTGCTGAAAATCGTTTACAACGAACGACGCTTCACTGTTTTCACCACCGATCTAATTCGGCGTCTTGCACCAATGATCCAGAATTCTTCTCTAATTATAACAGTTAACTCTTGTACGCCGGCATGAGAATGCTTTAAATGCTAGTCTCTAATTAAACAGTCAACAATATAATGCTTAGAAGGTAATAAAATCGGGTACCGGAAGGCATAAGAATCATTTTGTTCGGTGTTTTTCGTTTTTGCTCTTCTTAAGCTACTCTGATCTCGTACGGTCAAAAGACCATTGATGGAGTCTCAAGTCTCTGAAAAACTCTTTCCCTGAACAAATGAAAGAAGTATATGATTTTAGATTCCTGTATCTCGAGAAGCAGACAGGAAAGACTCTTTATTTACAATTTTCTTTTGACAATTTTTGATAAATCTCTTTAATCCAACCTAAAACTCTTAACATTTTTGAAAATTTAGAAGAACTTCTCACACTACAACTTTATCCGCTTTTGTAGTTATACTAAGATTTACATTTAAATTTATGCCTTTCCTGCGCTCTGAAAAAAAACTAAAGTTTCATTTGGCTTAACCTCTAATTTTGGCCAAGCTATCTCTAGGGTCCTTTGAGCCAAACAGGCCCTCTCCACCAATTTAATTCGGAAAACTGAAGAGGGGAACAACCACGAGAAGGTAAATCAGCTGGGTTAGAATGACCCGGTACATATGACCACTGATTTGCTTTAGTGAAAGTGCAAATTTCCTTCACGCGATTGCCCACAAAGTCCCCCACGCATCATTTCTTTGAATCCAAGATATGGCCGTGGTGGAATCGGTCCAAAAATATTTTGGGATGTCATCTAATGTAAGAGCTTCTGTCACATATTTGGAAAGACGCACGCCCAAAAGACATGCCATAAGTTCTAGACGGGGAATAGTAAGTTCTTTTAAGGGTGCGACTCTTGACTTAGCCACTACAAAACTGATTGTTTCTTCTTTAGTTTCACATCTCAAAAATATTACTGTGGTATAAGCATGCTGGCTAGCATCACAAAATACATGATGTGTCCAGGAACTTCTATTTCCAAAACCTATACGTCTATTCAACCTGTTTGCCTATTAGCTGTATTCTCAACTTGTTCAAAATTTGTAATTTCTTATATCACCTCGAAAATTTACTTTTGATACTATCTGATAATGGAGTATCCTAGTCTGCTTTTATCACCCAAATTTCCTGTAGCGGTAATTTTGCAGGTAATGAAACAGGTGTCAAGAAACCCAAAGGATCAAACATAGTCTGCGTTACTGACAAAACCTCTCTTTTAGACAAATTATCCGAAACCAATACAGTCTTAATTTCAATATAAAGGTTATCTTCTATTCTGTCCCACATAATTCCTAAAACTGATACAGAATTCTCCATTGTGGACTCAGTGCACAAAGTACTTTGGGTTAGTTCCACATCTTTTTCTACTGGGCCATAGGTCCACATACGTAAGTCCATTTTTGCTTCAGCTAATATTTCAGTAGAAGATTTCACAAAATTCACAAGCTCCTTTTCGTTATCAACAGAAGTCACACAATTATCAATATAAAAGGATTTATTTATTTTCTGAGCAATAGAACTTTGTTCCTTTGGTACTTGTGCCAAATGAACTGAAATAACCGCTCCTAATAGAAAGGGCTAGACTTTACTCCAAAAACTACCCTCGTATGGCGGAAAACCTTCAGTACATTTTTTCTTCTCTCCCACCATAAAAATCTTAAAAAGTCCCTATCTTCTTTCCGTAATTCAATCTGTAAAAATGCACGCCGGATATCAGAGGTTACGCCAATGCATTTTTCTCTAAATCTTAACAAAATTGAAGGGATTTCTTCTATTAAATTTGGTCCTTTTACTAAGTAATCATTAAGGGAGGGCGATCTATTAACTTTACATGATGCGTCAAAAACAGGTCTTATCTTAGTTGAGACACTGTCTGGTTTAAATACTGGGTGATGCGGTAAGTAGTGCCCTTTATAATTCAGTTCATTGTCTGGTACTATTTCAATTCTACCCTCCTCCATCCATTCATTAAAATTCTATCATATTCTTCATATTTATGTAAAGACTTGAGTTTTCGGGTGACACTGAACAATCTTTTTTCTGCTACATGACGATTTGATGGCAATTCTGCGTTATATACTAACCAAGGTAATCCGACACAATAACGACCATCTTCGTTTCTGGAAAGAGAGTTTAAAAATTGTTCGTGGGCAATTTCTTCCTCAGCAGCATTAGTTGAATTCTGGTGAGCATCTAATATTCCGATCGTTTCTAAACTCCAAAGATCGGAGATTTTAAAGTCGTGACCCACTAAACTTGCACACAAAATGGAAGCGTCTTTATCTTTGTGATTAACAAATTCCTCCGATACACCACAAACTGTCCAACCAAGTTTTGTACAAACTGCTGTTAGTACTCCTTTTAATTGTTTTACTGATCCCGTGAGAATTTTTCCATAAATATCACTACCGATGAGCATTTCTATTTTTGGACAATCTGCTCCCAGATCCGACAACCAAATGTTGTTTCGTTTTAATTCTTTTAATATTGGACCCTTGGGTACCCGAGGTATATCCCCACATATTATGTCTTGATCTAAAAATTCAAATTCTAGATCTGAATACTTACGCGGACTGGCTGAACATAATTTTACCAAATATTTGTTATGCATCTTTGCCTCTGTTCTGGCACATCCAAATAAAGTAAGAGCAACATTTTCTTTGGAAATAATTGGTAACCCCAATTCAGTGGCTAATGATTTCAAAATATACGATTTCTGGGAACCACAATCTAAGAGTACTCTAACATCTTTATGCTTTTTGACACCAGCTACTCTTACGCGTAAAGTCATTAAAGCTACGTCAGCGGTACAAGTTTGCCTGGCTGTAGCCGTATGTATGTTGTCTATTTCTGATTTTTCTGTAGGAAGTTCAGTTTCATTATTAATGTCCGGACACAAAATAACTGAGTGTGATTTACCACAAGCAAAACACCTAACACACACATTCATTGTTGTGGATCTTGGTCGACCTTGTTCAGCTGTATCTCGATATGGATCCAGTGTCCTAAAACTGTTCCACAACTTACAGACGACAGTGGGCGTTATTTCAACTCTGTAGCAACCTGCGCTTGTGATTAGCCTACCTCCAATCTACTGAAAATACTCCATCTCATTCCGTCATCCGGCCCACCAGCGGCCGAACGGTAAAAGACAATGAACACTGATAGTTCGGTCCGAGGTTCGAATCCCGCGAGCAGGCTGGCTGCATAGACGTTTTCGTGGTTTTCCCCATGTGTAGCGTGTATACGAGCCAGTTTCCCTTAGAAAGTCCTTCACGAAGGCATCCCTTCCCTTAGGCAGATAGCCCTCGTGTGCTTTGCCATAACTGAATAATCCCACCCCCATTCCGTCATCCACACGCTCATGGCTACTCATTTTACGTGACATTTAATAAAAATTATCCGACTCTTGCAAGAAACCAGAGAATGTCGAGAAGAAATACGAGCACATAAACCATTTGTATTTATATCCTCTCCTTTAATTAAGACCTCTCCATAATCACAGCTCCGTAGAGGCTCATGTATACGCTCCTGTATTTGACCCTAAATATTTGCATATTTCTTCGGCGCTGTAATTATAGTACCTATGGTTCAATATGTTTGGAAAGTTCAATGTTTAATTCTAATGTAGAAAAGAATGTTCTATGATTTGGAGCCCAATACCGGCGCTGTTACCGGTTTTCTGATATCCCGGAACCGAGTCTATTCCGCCTTGTTATAGCAGCCATTTTTTTTTTTTTTTTTTGTTAAATGTCAATGTTTTTCTTAAGTTTAATATGACTGGAACTTCTTAGTTTAGTGACAGAGGGCTATGTGATACTTGTTTAGGGATTGAGGGCTTATAGTATGTGTATCACGTACTACAAGTCGCGTATTTTGAATTATTGGAATTTTAATTGCCATTAATTGGCCTTTGGTTTTCGTTAGCTGGCTGGTCGCAATTGATCACTGTCCCGTCGCTTCCACAAGATGTTTGGTAAGACAAATACACTTTTTTTGCTTCATAACTTAGAGCAAAATGGTAAGAAATCTGTAACCTCATTGATGTATGAATGAAGGTTTAATTAGTTCTCGTTAGGAAAGTATATACGGAAGATATGCGTCTAGAGTTAAAGGATCAATTGGATGGCTATGGGAGGTTTTGTTGAGAGAAAACCGCTCATACCAACACCACTGAGAGCATATAGAACCACAATAAGCGCAAGGTTTTGCAAGCGGAGTCTTCGCAGTTGTCGGATGACATTTTGTATTCCATCTTTGCAAAGGTTAAGGCGTCGCAAATATCGGGATCTGAAGAAGTAGGGCTAGTTTCAGGCTATAACAGCAGTCCTCCGACGCTGACGACGAGATGTAGCCAAGAACACGAGGTAAGTACATTTGTTGTTTTTGTAATATACATTTTCGGCGTTGTTTTGGGTGACAACTTAGAAACATTAACTTTTGGCACCATTCCTGGCGTCTTAAAAATTACCAAAAACATTAAGGGCGCCCTATTGTAAACTTTAAACCATACTTTTCGTAAAAATAGGCAAAATTTGCAAATTCTCTTAATTTTGCACACCTGTGTTATATATATAGAGAGAGAAAGAGATAAAAAAGAGATAAATTACATTGAATTAATACCTTCCTATAGGAGTAAACTTGCAAATGAAAAAGAACGATATAGTCATATAATATAGCTAAAAAACTTTTGAATAATAAAAGTACATTAATATAATGCAAAAAAATTCATACTATATTAAAAAATAGTTAAAATGTTTCGGTTTTTGTCA